GTTCAAACTTGGTACATACATTAGACATTACGGGTTCCTGATGCACGGCATTTTTTCTTCAGATTGGATTCAAAATGGCTGACTGGCGGCCATTTTGTTTTAATGATTGGGCTTATAGAGCCTACTCTTAAATGCTTTGACTGATTATATTCAAATTTTATATATTCGTTATATATCATGTGATATATATACATGTATTCAAAATGGCTGATTTTGAATGCTGTTCCAGAGCAATATCTCTAAATATGGACAAGTACTTGTTTGATAATCAGGTACAAATGTCAATCATTTTAATGTTAAAAAACCATATTTCTGACATGGTTATATTCCAGCTATATTACTATAAACAAAACTATATTTCTTAAATTTAATAACTAACGGGGACTGTGCCATGCATGGCTTGTTTTCATATATTATGACCAAAACACCTTGTGCCATCAGCCAAGGAAGGTTCTCAAAGACCATGGTAGACCTAACCAAAATCATAAGTCTATCAAGCACCCCAAACATTTTAACAGTGGTTCTCACAAATTATTTGTATTATGCAAATCTTGTGTTAAATGGTGGATCTGAATGTGAAGGATGCATTATATATACTTAGACATCAAACATTGTTTGTGGTTTGCAATATACAGGACGATTTCATTCGCAAGTGCTTCCAATTTGTCTCTGCTTTGCTCAGTTGGTGTTTACAAAGATGTGCAAGGCAATTTATGCCATTGGTATTTTCACCCATCTGAAAATATACAACTGGTTTTATCATCATGCATCACAGAAAACCTTCAGTACACACTGTTACTTAGGGAATAGTGTTTGTTCAACAATGAGCAATCTCAGTTAGACTCCATAGTCTACTATATTTAAGTAGAGAAATAGACACCTATTAGACACTGACACCTACCACCTCGCACAAAATGTTAACTGTAAAAAGCTTGTACAACACTGCATACCAGATCTCACCTTTAGTTGTTCCCTATCCGGAAATTTTTGTATTCTTAACAGCTACAGAAAACCTATAGTTTGGTGGCCATCCCTGACCCATCCCTGTTAGTCAAAGTCATTATACTCCAATCATCTTGATCTTGCCAGTAACTGGGTGGGCTCTATATCACTAGTCAAATATATCAACTGAGAGGAGTGGTTAAATGACAGAGTAATTCTAGTAATAAGTTACAATACCTACCCCAATAAGAGATACACGGTCACTATCACTCAGCAATCTTGCAGTTAAGATTCTTTCTAGTGTTCTCAACATAATGTTGCATATCAAGAGGAATAGAAATTACAGAGTAGACAACAAGTCCAGACTCTGTGATCAGGTTCGATGGCAGAGAGTGGCAGATCTCATCACAGATCACCACAGCACTGCTCAATTTCTGGCTAGAAATGTTGATCGATCTATTTGCTACAGCAATTAACACCAAAATACTGGTACTTGTGACACACACTTCATTCCATGTCTAGCATTGGCTTTGATCACAATGTCCATCAGTTTAAACAATCTAGCTGTTTATGCATTCTCTCCCTTTCTAGCTCCGCTGTCAACTTTGTCAAGCGGAGCTTATCATATGAGTGATTGTCCGGCGTCTGTGTCAACTTTTTACTTTTCCAACGTCTTCTTCAATACAATTCTTATTGCTTTGATACTTAGTATATATGTATCTTGGGCAGACCTCTTTTAGATTTGTTCATTTTCTGATGATACCTTCAGTTCTCAAATTGAAATGTACATTGTTAACAGCCCAGAGGCTGCTTGTTCCTGATTCTGTCACTATTCAGAAAACTGATCTATACATCAATGACACTGATAGCACGGTTTTGGGTAAGTCCTGTAGTCTCTAAAATAGCATGTGACGAGACGACCCCACAATGCACCGTTATGGACAATCCCACACAATGATGTGTCTGTAATACTAGTGCTGTGTTATATAAACCCTCATCTTCAAACTGGCACCTTTGCCCTGTGCACACTCATTTGCACTGTTATCATTGCACATAGGTCATCTAGCTCGCTCAGTCAAAACTATTCATTTGCAAAGCTGAAGGGAAACATACATTGCTAGCCAGCTGCACCAGATAGTCTAGATGTGACCTGGAAATCATTAATAGGTTTGCATACACAATGCAGACACTACAGGAGTCATATACAACACAAATGCACAATTTGCGGTCTTCGGGAAACCTTTGTTGTTTTTCCACAGGGTCACTATATACCATGTACAGGCAGCTGGACACTGGAAATAACACAACACTTTCATTTCATATCTACTCAAGATGGCTGACTCGATCCATATATTAGTTCACTTAACAGCAATATACCTGTTTCCCCCGCTTATGACGTTTACATATCTCAGCTTATCCGTTATGGCAGAGCATGTAGTATGTATTCTGATTTTTTTACAACAACATCATCTTCTCTGTTTTAAACTATTAAGTCAAGGGTTTATAAGAGAAAGACTGATCTTGTCATTTAAAAAGTTCTATGGCAAGTATCATCAGCTGGCGGACAAGTATCATGTTTCTATGAAACAGATGGTAATAGAAGCGCTGGATGTCAATTGTCTTGCACGAGGATGACCTAAAAAGTCATTGGTGCCACATGTGGAGCAGGATGTGCTCACTCTTTTCGAAACACCTGACATTATCTCTTGGCTTGTGCCTTGAGGTTCATGTATCTCTCTCACCGACTTGACAGTGTGTTGTTTATTTGTTTGTGTGTCCCCTGTGTGTTCTCGGATTTGTAAATATTGCCTTTTGACATTGATTGTTTGGATTATAGTTGGGTATTGTTGCTTGGATTTTAAATAACAACCTTGTATGTGTTTTTTTCATATGCTTGTTCTTGAAGCTATAAAATAGTATTGTAAAAAATTAGCACTATGCACAGGATACTCCGTTGTTTGTATTCATATTTGTTTGTTAGACAATATCAAACTATATCCAAATAATAATAATAGCGATGATATAAACTAGAAGCTGCATTAGAATGTTACATTGTTTATTAATTCATTGCCCATCACACCTCTCCAGGCACATTTTGTGATCGCCATCCTGTGCAGAGTAAAAGGAGCGAGCTGATATGCAAGTGGTTTTACCTATGATGCCCTGCTCATTGCTAAGCAACCAAGGATCGAACCATTACAAATTCTAAGTGGAGGCTTGAATATGCTGATTAGACCCTTATTTTTCAATATAAGTAGTTGGCAGTGATTTCAAATTTACATCTCCCACATTACAATATGTATTTTATTTCTTTTATGATTTTCCAGCTCCAAAAAAGCTGAATATAAGGCAGCAATGCAACCCATCTCTCAGGCTGTTGCTGATCACAGGAAAAATTTGGTTCCTGGTGAACCACAGTTAAACATGTGTGATACAGCTGTACAGGTGAGTGTCACAGGAATTACTTAGTACATGGTGAAACACAGTAGAACATGTGTAGTACAGATGAGTGTCACAGGAATCACACATGTGAAACACGTGTGGTATTGTTGTGCAAGAGTTGTTTTACTTTATTGCAGAATTGGGCACCTGTTGGGTGTGAGAAACTTGGTCAGTGTCTGAAGATACCTCCATCTAATCCCAAGAAGTGCACCTGGCCACACTAGCGGAATTTACATCATTAGTTTTTAACTCTTGTGACCAAATTTTGTGCAATAATATTTTGTTTTACACTCGCAGTGTTATGTTCATTGCTGCTTCCCAATAAAGTAGTTCTTCAATATCTGCAATATGTAATCAAAACACAATGAAAAATTGTGGAAAATACCAACTGTCACTGAAAACTGTCACAGCCAAACAAACAATTTTGGCAAGATTAAGCCAACCGCTGATAAAATTTGGTCGAATTGCTTACGAAACCGAATTACACGAAGAACCTAGAATACTTTCTAGAGGTTTTTGAAACTGAAAAAGTCATCTAACTGTAAGGTCGTCGCTGATTGGATCCTGAGTTGGATAACTATTTTGGTACTCATTACTCGTATTCAAGATTGCTGCTCCCATATAGTAAATATCCGCAAATTGATCACACGGATTAAATCGTATCGTTTTAGTATAACTCTATGTCCTGCCAGGCTGAAGAGTGTTACCGAAAACAATTCGGCTTAATCATTCAGCTTCCAAATCACTAAGCGTCTTGCTAGCGAATGACTGTGTTATACCCTGAATTTAGAGATTTTTGCTAGTTTTTGGTTAGTTATCCACAAATCTTATTGCAGTTGCTGCATGTATGTATTATGGGACTCTTTATTGTCCTGATGAACAATGGGCAGATGATCAGATCAGAAACCAGATGTATATGCTCACCATGAATGAACAAATGTTGTGTTTTATGTTCTCTGACAATGGTGTCAAAATTAGAATAATAATACTTTCAATCACAACACATAAATAATTCCATTTACATTATGTTATGCAATCATATATTAAGGAATATCTCGTAATATAAAACTGCAATATCTATTTTTTTTTAAACTAGTAGTGATCGTTGCGCATTTCACCATGCAAGTAAATTTGGAGTATGCAATCATTTCCAATAGAAATATGCAATCCACCAGTCAAAAATTTGCAATGTTGCGATTTCTTACTTTAACCTTCAGTGTTTATAGGTACTCTGAATATCGCTGGTAGGGCTTCAATTTGCACTTGTTGAAGGCAAGTTTTAAATTTAAATTGTACATGCTAAATGCAGTGTTCAATCACATCAACGTTTTTTTAGGCACAAGTGTGAGCAGGTACTCGCAGCTTCCTGGAGTGAACGTCGAGCTCACCTACCTCAAGAACATAAAAAATATATAGGCTGATTTTTGCTTCAACTCAATGATTTATCATAAGTGTAATAGACATATTCAATACATGACTTGTTTAGAGCACTTCTGTTTGAGTTGAATTGCTCATCTATCATTGGGATTATAACTAGCATCTGTTCCAAAATATAATTCAGGTTTAAAAATCGACATTAGCAATGGCTAAGGAACATATTAATTGCTCTCTGATTCATAACCTCATTTTTACATTTGACAGTGAATCTGTTTAAAATATGGTTAGGCTGATTGGCTATCAAACACAGTAATCATTGATGATGACGTAGAAGGTGTGACAAATGCTTGCTACACTGACCAAGACTTGTTTGTTATTCCATTGTATTATATTTATAAAAAGAAAGTAGCCATAAAACGCGTGAAGTTTAGGTTGTGCATATACGTAGCATATTTCTGTTTCATATTTTGTTTACTATTTGTTAAAGCACTGCTCCTTATGTTGAATTTGATATTAGGTGTGAAATAATATTTTCTTTTGACAAATTAGTTCTTACTACTTGACAATTGTTGAGTAAGCATGATGTGAACATGCATCCATGTTAAGGATTCCTTTCTTCTGAATGCGCTACAGGTAACCATAGCCATGTCCACTGATTGCAGCGACTAGTAGTATCATTCTTGTGTGTCCATATCAGATGTATATATTATCTTTTATTGGCTATGAGCTCTGACAACTTCAAGCTTACTATAACGTTTCAGTATACCATTCAAACGAAAAAATACTATGGTTGTTTGTAGCTGATACATTAATGTAGTATCGCATATTCACCAATTGAGAGGGTATTTATCGGCATTTCAAAGCAAACTTTGTGTTTAACTTTTAAACATTGTACCATGCAATTAATTCGATGTTCCGCGGATGCTAACAATTACAATCACTCAGGACGAGGAGATTTGATTGCACACCTATTAACATCACCCGGCAGCCATATGTATGAACCAAATTGGGCAATTAGAAAATACGGCGTTCAACGCGGCATATGTTCCTGTCAGGACTTGAAATCGACCGGTAAATATAACTCTGTTTTGTTAAAAACAAGTGCATAGAGATTCAATTATACAGTATTAATCTATGGAGAGTATAATAACAAATTTTGAAATTTACAATGTAAAACACAAGCTATTGCATATTTAAAAAATACACGCAACGTTTTGTTTGAACACAATGTTTCTGTTTGCTCCGATTTCGCGATTATGCTATAGTAACACTGAAAT